ATACGCGACAGAGAAAGTGATTCTAATATACCTTATATTTTACAGGTAGTCAGAAGTTGTCAAGTATCTCTATGTGTGCGTACATGTTCGTGTGTTTACCGAACCTACCCAGCTGACGTCTGTTCATTCACTTTGCTCATCCATTCATAAAATGCAGTGGAGTATCGCGCATGCGCGCATTATCGCTCCTTTTTATCGCTGCAATTTTATACCTTATCGATAGCCGAAAAGATTGTTTCGATTTTTCAACAACATCTTTCAACAACATCTTTTATCTGAGAATTTCGAAGGAATATGTTTATCTAGAAAAATATCACTTCCTTTTCGATCAATCTCTAGTGAAAAGTTCATTTATACGCCAATAGATAGCAGAAGTAGTTTCGGTTCCATTTAACGCGAACCGTGTATAAATTTAATTTTATTTCTCATATAAAAATACAATTGCTGATACTTTTTTCTCTTATTTTTATGGACAATCGTCTGAAATATATAGAATTATTATGAATTGTTATAGAGTGATAAATGAAATTATCTTAAATTATCAACAGTTGATAAAAACTTTTCTATAGAAATCAATAGATAACAATTTTTTTCGATCGTTGAGGATAATTCGTTAAAAGCACAAGTGTCCGAAAATAATATACAAATTTGTTTTCCATATGTACATGTGTGTGAATTTTTAAATATTCAACACTTATAATGTTATATTTTGTCATTAACTAGGAACAGAATAGACGTGATATCAAACGGAACTTTGTGTGTCAGATTGTGAAATACCCACGCGTCAGAAAATTAGAGTGTTTTTCACACCCTCTACGATTTCTTACGGCGAACATGGAAATTATCACAAACAACTCATCAGTTATTATATTATCGACGAAGTACAGAATAGTTTTAACGTTTATGACGGTGGCCTACCGATATCTTGCTGTTTTATCGATATAGTTACTAACAATCCAGAATAGTATTTAGCAGTCAATGTATATGAACGTAAGCCCTATTATTACCCCTGATATCAGCAACCATCGAAAGGAAAGTTGCTCCTCCACGTAGACCAACCTCTCCCCTAAAGCGAAGACAGCATATAAAAAGGCCTTGTATCACTGAACCTCGCATCTTTATTTTTTCTTTACGAAATCTCCTCGAATTTCCGCGGTTCGAACAATATATAAATACCTTTCTTTTTGAGCTGATATTGACATTGTAACTGAACACGTAAATTGGATTTTTGATAGTATGCAATGAAATAATTCTTTTTAAAGTATTGTAGAAGTATAAAATTATACTTTCGTCTACCGTTACATGTAAAATAACCTGTTCTGTTATTTAAAATTTCATAGGAAAAATTAATTTGAATTTAAACCATTCTGATATTGAATCGATAATATCGCATGTGATACGAAACTTGTAAGGGGCTTAGGTGACTCCCAAAACGTGAAACAAGAAGAGGCATTAAATTGTCAGATCTATCATATTGTAATCATATCGCAACTGCATGTATGTTCGATCGAGTCGCATCGTCGCGTGTCACGGTGTACTATAGTACTATCGCATCGACAAGTAACGCGTGGAACGATTTGTTACTTGTCCGTAATGTTAATCGGGTTAAGCTTCTTATGATATTCGTAGTAATGTCATTAATAACAATGTGAATGCACCATGTTAATGGCAGGAACAAAATTGCTTTGTTTCTACCCAATTATTGTTCTCTTCAACATCGGGATATTGAATAGTATTGGAGGTTAGTAATTAGGTTATAAATAAAAATGTTACTTGATAACGATTTGTAATTAAACAATTTTTCCTATGGCATTCTATTATGGCACCCCTACAGGTTCTTACATCAATACAAGTATTGGTTCGGATGTGTTTTTTGAAATTATATATCCACCGGAATTGGAATATACATATAAATTAAGGCCCGCGAAAGATTTTGGAGCACCATTTGTAAGTATTATAAATATTTTAGAATTGATCAAAATATTACAAATATTGCAATATATATTTACAGAATGCAAGTTTTTTGGAGGAAGGAATCCCTTTAGTTCCAAATGACCCTCCTCATGGCTGTCAAGTAGCAAAAAATGCCAAAGAATTAAAAGGTAGAATTGCATTAGTTGAGAGAGGAGACTGTAGTTTCTTTGCTAAAAGTATAATGGCTGAAGAAGCTGGGGCGAAAGCTGTAATCATAGCGGATTATCACTCATCCTCTTTTGATGGATCACTAGCCAATTCTATATGGGCTGACTATTATTATATAGACATGATACGCGACGATACTATTCCTTCAACAAAGACAGTAAACATTCCTGCTGGATTTTTGCGCGGTATGAACGGCAAAATGATCCGGCAAACTCTAAAACGATTGAATCAACCATTTGCCTTAATTAATATCCCAGTAAACTTAACCTCTTTTCACCGACGCCGTTCGTTGTTTTGGTGATTATCAATAGGATTTTTCATTGATTTTCATATAATGAAACAAACGTATTGATTTACAAAGAATTAGAGTTTCAAAAGTACTAAAAAATATAGGATTACTTGTAATCAAAGTAATTATATGAACAATTTATTGTGCATTGTACTTGTAAAAGTTAAGAAATGCAATCTTATACAATTTATTAATTATTTTATAAGAGATTTAGTTTCTCTCTCTAGCCACTTGAGTGCTTGAGCATTTTCTGGCCCTTGTAATAGAGGTTTTAGAGTATTCAAACATTTTGTATGATAATTATTTAGATATTGAATCTGAAAAAAGATTTACAATCAATTATCTTAAGGCGATTGATATACAGAAAATAAATCGAATCTATACCTCATTATCTGTTAATAAGGATACATCAAGTAGCTTAGTCTGTATAGGCACCAGTGTAACAGTTTCAAATGTAAGAAAGCCACGATTCTTGTGATTGTAGGGTGTGTTTGCCTTTACTACTAATTCTATATTTTCCAATCTAATGCCAAATTTCTCATCCTCATAGTATCCTGGTTCTAATAATTTTACCACATTTAATGACATTATTAGAATATACATATATACGTGTAATGACAAACAATACTTTAACTTTGTACCATTTGATAGAAACATCCCAGGTTGTAAACCTGGATCATCAGGATATGGTTTCCAAGAAATACCAATTGGTCCTTCGTGAACATTTAGATACGAACCTATTCCATGTCCGGTACCGTGAAGATAATTAAGACTGTAATTGTACATTTAGGTATAAATAAATAATATTTTCCATTTTATAAGCAAAATAGGTATATTTACCCAACACTCCATAAATTTTCCCGAGCAAGCGTATCGAGATAATTTCCCTGTATCATTAAAGGAAAAATGGTCGATGAAAGGCGACATTGTCCTTTAAATACTCTTGTAAAACATTCGCGCTCGAAACTCGTTGGATTACCAAAGTGCAATGTTCTTGTAACATCTGTGGTACCATCTCGATATTGTGCACCAGAATCGCAAAGATAAATTTCTTTGTCTGTAATTGGCACATTTGTTTTTGATGTTGGTAGATAATGAATTATTGCTCCATGTGGCCCAACTGAAGATATTGTAGGAAAACTGAGCCCAATAAAATGTTCCTGCTCCCTTTTGGGTAACATACATTATATATGTATAATAGAGAGAACTGTAATTTTTATATCAAAATTTTGTAATGTTGCATGCAAATTCTCTTACTGTCTAAATTTTTCAAGTTGAGTCGCTCCAGATATTTCTGTGATAGTATTTTCCTTATTCTTAACCTGATCTTCCAACCAAGCGAAGTATTTTATGAGTGCAACTGAATCTCGTACGTGCGCCGCTTTCATTCCTTCTATTTCAGTATTATTTTTTATTGCTTTCATAACGCTTATCGGGGTAATTTTTGTATGCTTTTTTGCTTCTCCACAGTCAGCATGTAAAGCATAACTAGAACCATTACTTATCCATATTTTGTCATCATTTGCATATGAACTTGCAATCTTTCTCAAAAAATCATGTATATCTCCATACGGATGATAAACTGCATTTACTTCTTCATTAATTAATTGTTGCTGAGCTTCCTCTGCAAGTTTGTTTTTATCAATGAATAAGTGTAAATCGTCTAATGTAAGAATGATATATGCAAAGAAAACAGGGTTGTAAGGTATATCAGATCCTCTTAAATTTAGAATGTATGCTACTTCGTCTAAAGCTGAGATTACAAGTACTTTCACATTGTTTTTGTTCATTACTTCTCTACACATTTTCACTTTTTTTCCTGCACTACATCCAGAAAATTGCAATGGCTGAGGTAAAACAACATTAGTTGTAGGTGCAGGTTGTTCATCACCCCAAACTTTGTCAATTAAATTTTCCTCAAGAGGCATCAAACAATGACCAGCAGCAGCTAAACTGGTATGTAATACTGCCCATTCTGTGTAACTTATTAAATTAGGATCAGCCCCAATAGTAGACTTGGGAGGTAGATTAGAAATTAACCATGCAGCTCTGGTTGGAGTATCTAATAAACCTTCTTTCATTAAAGTCCATACCTCTGGTGGATCGAATTCTGCTAAAGCTTGCATATAGTATCTTCCATCAGTCCACAGTATAGCTTTATTTTGTGTAATAATTGCAGTTCCAAAAGAACCAGTGAAACCACTTATGAAACGAATCCTTTTATCATACTCTCTTAAATATTCTGATTGATGTGCATCATCTGAACTTACAACTAAGGCTTGAATACCTTTCCCTTTAAGACCACCTATTTGAACAGCTTCCATTAATTTTCGAAGCTTAGCTAATTTAGTAACACCACTTCTTTGTGCCATATTGATGTTTATACTATAACAAGTTTTTATCAATATATGATGTACTGAAACAAAATAATATTATTTAATTAATATAAATGTAAATCTCTTAAATTATTATGTGTGTATTTAAATTAATATGATGCAATTAAAAATAAAATTTAATATACTTACGACTGTTATATGTATTGTATACACAGTGAATGTTACTTAATTTGTCCCATGTATTTCGAATAATAACAATGTCACCTTGTCTTATCGTAACAAGATAATCTTATCAAACATTTTACAAAAATATCAAACAATTGTATTCTTATTCCTTATTATGAATATAAAATATAAATTGAATACTGCATATATCGATGTTTCAAGTTTGAAAGTATGACGTTTTAAGTATCGACTATTATGTTTAGTACGAGGTTAGAAACGATATGATTCCCTTCAGGATTCAGTAAAGTACAAAAATAAATATTTGTCGGTAAACAATACCGATTTAATACATAATTCTTTTACTCCTATCTTTAGAATAAATTTAGCATTTTTTATTCTTATAATTTAAAATAAAACTGTATTAGATATCGTAAATTTTGTGGTGTTATCGTAACAATAACTTACTTGATAATTCATAAAGTAAAATTTCCATTATCAGCTTATCAGTATATAGTCTAATGATCAAAAATTAAAAAGTCATTTTCTCCAATTTTTACAATTTCAGTAATAATTCATTGGAATACATATGCATTAAGATGTTAAATTAAAAAAATGTATAGAAAACATATGACTACTTGTTTATATTAATTGAAAAAGTTGTTAGCTTATAAAAGAACAGTATTATATTTATATACAAAATATAACATCACAACAATGTAAGTATATTTGCATGTTTATGTGTTAATATTACAATTTACTGCAAACTTGTGATCTTTTCTAGCATGTTGTATCTAACAAGGTATTGCATATCAACGATAACAAGAAACGGTATAACAAAATTTCTACCAATTAAACAAAATCTATATACATATACTCCAAAATCAACAGTTACAAATTCAACCCTTACTCTTATAAGAAGGAATGTCATTTTGCATAAGGTGCTACATATTAATTTTATAAATTTAACGTACAAATAATAATAATAATAATAATAATAATAATAATAATATAACTTTAAGTAATTTTTGTGCGATATTATCATAGGATTTACTTAAAAATGGTGGCATCATAGCAAAAGGTTTCTCAACAAAATCAGCTGAAAAATCAAATAAAACTGTAGGCAAATGGCTCTTAACTTGCAGTGGCATGGTTTTCGTAGCTGTTGTTCTAGGTATAATCTTTTACTGTTTTTTTTACTACTGTGCTTGTACTATTATAAAAGCAATTGTAGATAAGACCTATGGAAAATAGTTTTAATAATAGTTATAAAAAAAATACTTTTAAAAGTATACTATTTATAGCAAATTAATATATATGTGTAATATACCAATATATGAATATATAAACCTTTATAAAGTATGATATGTAAATAAAGAAATTGAAAGAAAAAACCATAATTACTCGTCCTTCCTTATTTTTATGCAGGGGGTATAACAAGACTTACAGAGTCAGGTTTATCTATGGTTACTTGGAAATTACTTGGTGAAAAAATGCCTACTACTGAAATTCAATGGCATGCAGAATTTGAACGTTACAAACAATTTCCTGAATATAAAATGTAAGATCTTTATAGTATAAAATAATTGTATAATACATCAAACTATATATATTTTATACAAATTTCTTTATAGCAATAATCAAAATATGACGTTGGAAGAATTTAAACGTATTTGGTGGATGGAATATTTACATAGAATGTGGGGACGTTTGATAGGTGCTGTATTCATAATTCCAGCAACTTATTTCTGGACGAAAGGTATGCTAACACCAGGCATGAAGATCAGGGTAGCTGTTTTGGGTTCGTTAATTGGCTTACAAGGACTTATGGGCTGGTACATGGTTAAATCGGGTTTGGAAGATCGTTTCGTGGAACCATCAGATGTACCACGCGTCTCACAATATCGCTTGGCTGCTCATTTAGGAATGGCATTTATTATATATACAGGATTTTTGTACAATGCTCTAAATTATTTAGTTCCTGCTCAGAAATTAAATCTTGATCATTCAAATGTTGATATTAGTAATCTGAAGTCGAAGCTAAAGAGATTCAGAATGTTAGTTCACTCGACAAAGGGACTGGTCTTTTTTACTGCTTTGTCGGGAGCTTTCGTTGCAGGGATGGATGCAGGTCTTATTTATAATACATTTCCGAAAATGGCAAATAAGTGGATACCGGATGATGTATTCACGTTATCACCTCTACTAAAAAATTTTACGGAAAATCCAACTACTGTACAATTCGATCATAGAATATTGGTATGTTTTGGGCATAATAGCCAAATTAATATACGGTACTATAAATTTTCTCTTTTTTTACAGGGTATCACAACTTTATCATTAATAACTTACATTGCAATTGCATCTCGTAAATATAAACTTCCTGGTAATGCAAAAAAAGCTATTGTAGCTGTGCTCTGTGCTGGCTATTTGCAAGTACTACTAGGAATTTCAACATTAGTACATCATGTGCCCTTACCATTAGCTGCATCTCATCAATCTGGCAGTCTTATTGTTTTAAGTACAATGATATGGTTGACTCATGAATTGAAATATTTAAAATATGTCTTAAAATAAATTTATAATATTATACAACATTTTATTATTTTATACAGCTTGAAAATTAACAAAAAAATACTACAATAATTTCTCAACATTATGCTTTATTTGACAATGTGTTAAGTTATAATCAATAATAATCAATATTCATGAAAATTAATTTACATGTGTTTGTTTTAAAGTAATGTATCTATTACGATGAAATTTTAAGCATTTTTATATTACTGAAAATATATTTTTAATTTCATGTTTAAAAAAAAACGAATAAATACCTTTTTAAAAATAATATTAAACAAGTATCTGTAACAGTTTTTGGATCGTAGTTGACAAATCTGACTACACTCGATTATATCTCTAACATGTAAATTAAAAAAATTCATTACTAACATCAACTGTTCTTCCTTATGCTTAGCATATATCAAATATTTAATGATGTTAGTACTGGCACCTAATTTCAAAAAACCAGCTTTGGTAAGTAATATTATTTTGTTCAATTAGTTTAAAAAATGTGTAAACCCTGCTTAATCAATAATTGCTATCTAATTGTAATAATAATTTTCATTAACATTCCAAAGTTTCTTTTTTAAATGTTTTATAACTTCTGATTAGCAATACAGTGGATTCAGCTTTATTTTTATTGGCAGTTGTTCTACCTCATCTCCAATCAGTCATTCTTTGATTTTTTGTATTTTTCACTTAAAACGTCTTATATTGGTCCAACATAGCATTATTAATATTAAGCAGTAGCAATATTTAATAGACGTTTTGAATTGCACTTTCGTTATTATAACGCTTTTTATTTACACTTGTCATATTTTCACTTTACTATATGACAATTGCGCCACATCACATATTTCTGTTTAATATTATACAGACATGAGTATTAACGGAAAATGTATATTATCATTCATACAAATACAAATTATATCACTTAAAAAACGCAACATTTATATTAAAATCTTTATACGAACATGTGTGAAAAATATAGTTTAACTGATACTATACAAAAAATAATCTTCCTGTATTGTTTGAATATCAATCAAAATGAACTTAAAATGCAGTCTCTTGCAATATGTTGCAAATAACTCAAATCCTAGATTGCAAAACTAATATCAGTCTGACAGAATTTATTGTTCCATTGAGAATCTTATGTCTTTAGTTCCTGGTAACGAATGTCTCTCTATAAATGCGATATTAACATTCCCATTTTCGTCGCTATGAACTAAAGCCTAATTGCACATAACCAATAGAACAAATGGAACACATTCCATTTTTGACTATTTCAATTATTATACATTGGAGATAGGGCTTTAATCAATCACATGAGCTAACCGCCCTATACTTTAGTCTATTGTTAACTATCGGTCATTTGTGCTTAGACTAAAGATCATTTAAAATAATACTTTAGACAATGTTACTGCTTTATCAAAGAAATCACATGTTGGATCAAACAAGAATTCCTTCATTGCATCATTACAGATTATTTTACAAGTTTTATTTCTTTGTATAAAGAAGTGTTAGTCCTTGAACACAATTAACACGTAAATAAAAGACTGATCTATCTGAAACTCTTAAATTTAAAACAAGTGCTCCCTTTATTTGCACTAATTTTTATAATATGTCAAGGAAATGCATAGTTAACACAAGATTTCATTTTTTTTATATGAACAGGGTTTTATACGCTTATGTTCATATCTTTTAGTGGTTGCTTCCAGTCATTTTTTTGTCATTATAACTTGTATGCAATTACCCAATTTATAAATAAGTTACTTATAAGATTAAATATGTTTGCTTTGACACTCAAATTGAGAATAGTGGAACCAACGTATGTACCTGTATACATACATATTTAATATATTACGTATTATACATACACGCACACGCAATACTATATATTATAATTTTATGATCAATGCATATGAAAAACAAACTTTATCACTGCTGTGTTAGTACAGTCAATAAATTCACACGCATAATATGTCATTTTTTATAATTATACTTTATATCATTTTTGCTTTCTGTGTAACATGTGGGGCAGAAGTAAGAATTAGGTGCTATTAAAATTGAACTAGCAATATTGATTTTACTGTGTTGATCATTTTATCATAAGCACATATAACACAGATGTGAAAGTGATTGTGCTGATAAAATTGTATAAAAATTATACGTTCTGCACCACATGTAATTTAATTATTAGTCTTACATCTTTTCTCGTGCATTATTCAGCTATGTAGACCTTATATAATATCTTATTAGTACTTATAGGAAGGAATCGAAGATTTTAGGCCACTAATAGGCCAAACATGTACTTTTGTGAAATAATTCAAACTTATGTCTTATAGACATTCACAATACATTTACAAAAGTTTAATGAATTCGATCAAAAGAAAAACATCATTGAACTGTATATTTCACACATTATGCAACAAAGGTTGTTAATAATCTTTTCTATTGATTTATCCTTAGAAAAATTATAGTTATTAATTATAAATCCAAAAAGCCTAGAAAATAAAATCTGTAAGAAACACAACAAAAGAATGCAATTTAATAATCAGCATATACCTTGTTCATTTTTTCACTATTGTCCATTGTATTTTTATATTCATCAATATTTCCGTAATTTTCTTATTATTATTATTGTTATTATTATAATCTTTTTTTTAAGTGTATGTTTTTATTCTTATATCATATAATTATGCAACATGGTTTAATAAGCAGCATAGAATAATTTTCTACATGTATACTTAGTTTCCCAAGTGTTACAGCACCAGCACCTTCGTTGGTAGTAACAAATTAGTATAACAACATTCCTGCTATTAGGTAAATGTTATTAATTACCAATCGTGTTTATACTTCTTTTTGTATAAGTATGTAATTTATGTTAATAAACCAATGTTAATAAGGACTCTTTAAGAGATTATTTCGGCATGTATTTAGCACTGTATTTTTCTTTTGAGCTAGTATATAAATTAATAAAAATTAAATAATCACAACCCACAATTTAAACGCAATATTATTTAATACTTATAACAATTATATATTACGAGAATTATGTTTTAAGTGCATTTTATTATAAAAAATCACTTCAAGAATTGCTGCTTTGCTCTTAATAATGACACAATATAAAATTAAAAAAGAAATATATTCTTACTTCGAATGCAGGTAAGAATGTGCTTATCAGAGAAAGATGGTTCAATATGACTTGTATATCTTGTATAATATTAGCTCAACTTGTTTTCACAGGACTGTCATCCAATTTTTCTGGATTTACAATTACTTGTATTACATAACCTGGTTGTATCTTTGCTTCTTCTATATGCATTTTATCACCTAATAACTTTCCACCAAAAAACCACCTTTGACGAGATGGTTCAAGACCTTCCTGACTCTATTTATATAAGTTAAATCATAAATTAATGCAAAATAAAAAAAAGATATTAATTTATATTATTAATTCATACCTGCAATTTCTTTTTAGCAGTAGCTATAGTGTCCTTACTGTAAACAGGCAATTTAACTTCTCCTAATGTAGTTGATAATCTCAGCTTCAATGTCTGCTCAACTCCACTATCAATAGGTTCTATAATTAAGTAAACAATGTTAAAAGTTAATTGCCTTTCTGAGAACATGCTTGAATTCCTTTACAATTCTTTTATTGAATTTAATTGCATTACCTGAACAATCAGCAGGAGAATCTCTTCCACTATCTTCTTTTACAATATTAATAGGATATGATAAACAATAAATAGGGACTTGATATCTGGTTCCCAATTCATCATAACATTCTGTTAAAAAACCATTTGGCACAGAAATATTAGCTCCATCTAATATAGCCTGTGCTAATTGATAATCCTGGGCCTCTGCTGCCGTTGCCCCAGCTCTTAATGCATCCCATATTTCTTTACGTCCATCAAATGCAGGTGCAGTATCCCAAAATTCATCTCTTTTACTTCTTAGCTGTCCTTCTGTCAAAGGTACATCTGATTTCCACCTAATTGCCTCATGGCATAATGGATGATTCTTCCTTGAATTTCCTGTGCAAACAAAACATTCTTTTATAACAGAAGTAGTACATTTGTTTTTTATTCAAATTAAAAAATTACACAAAAGGCATATTACAAAGCTAATAAAAAATGGAGATAGTTACATGAAAACTTTTATTTGTGTTATACAATGTAATATGTATAATGATTCCAAAGTTTAACAAAGTGACAAGCAATTTTGAAATTCTTATATTTTTAGTAATAAAGTTGGAATGACAAATTTGATGATAGGGGTAATAAGTATAATGATATTTTTGGTTAACTTGTTTGACATCGTGAATCATTATAGTACATACATATAATTGTTCGTCAGTCGTTTTGTGTAAGAAATAATATGCAAATTCTAATACATAATACGCAATAAACGTTAGGTAGGAAGGTAAGGAAAAAACCAGAACTGTCTTCAAGGTTAGCTGTTGTTGATTGCAATTTTTACGCAGATAATTTCATTATAATTTTTACCTGAATTTACTCTCGTAGAATTTCCCGTACTGTTGTCGACAGAGGCATTTCTTGCCCTCGTTATGCCTATGCAGCCTCCCATCCTAGATGGCTAGTGTAACCAAACATTTCACTGAAATTTAACAACACCTCACATGCCATTTTCGTCCATCTTATCCACTAAATTATAAATCAGTACCATTAGAGGCGCTATAATCGAATCTTCAGTAACCTAACCTGAAATGTTAACAGATATAAATGGGTTTCAAATCTAAATAAAACAAGTTTTGCAAACAATTTTTCAGTATATTTAATATTTCATTGACACGTATCCCAACAACATAACAATTACTGTCAGACACTTTCTGATCAAATTATCTTTTGTAATTTCAAGTGAAAAAATTAATTACGTTCGGCATTCAATAGAATTATATTTTATTAATATACTAAGGTTAAGTAATACACACACAGTACGAAGGCATGTTTTGCAATGGCTTCACTTACAAGTACCGTTTCTGAAGAAAGATTTCTTACTGCTTTTGAAGACGATCAGGCACTGGACACAACGTGCCAAGAGATCGCCTTAGGTATGTATTAATTACCATGATTGTTCTTCCTATGCATATTGATGATTGGCTTTTATGTTTTGAAGAAAAAACTAGACACACACAGTAATGAAGCCTATTTCTGATCTATTAAAATATTATCTATACTAATGCCAGTAAAAATGGTATATCTTCCCTCAAAAATATAGCTACATATTTTTAAATATATAGAACAAAAAATAAGTACTTTGTTTAACATCCATATTTTCTGAAAATAATTATTCTTTTTAATTTAGAAATACAGTCTGGTCATACAAAACTTTATGCAATTATAGAAGAACTTAGACCTTTTGTAACTGAAAAAGATGTTACAATACGAAAAAACGGCATCTCTGCCCTTTCTACTATTTTATTTCATTTACCTAAGGATTTTTTGAATGAAGATGAATTGTGTTTTATAACATCATTTTATTGTGACAGATTAAAAGATCACCATAGGATTATACCAGCAGTAATAAAAGGAGTTTTGACAATTGTAAGTTTTGGGTTGTATTTCACAATTATATTTAGATAATAGCTATACATATAAACTAACATAATCGTTCCAGGTTCAAATGGATCATTTACCTAAGGATTCACCTGAATGCTTACTTAGGAGTCTTTTTGAAAATGTGCAGTGCCAAGCTCAATTATCACTTGATCGCAGAAATATATATTTTATATTTACAACATTATTGGAAAATAGAATAGAAGATTTAAAAGCTATGGGGCCAGATTTTATTTATGGATTCATTACTAGTATAGAAACAGAAAGGGATCCTAGCAATCTTATGATATTATTTGACGTACTTCCATATTTTATGAAAAAATTGTCATTAGGCCATTTAGCTGGAGAAATGTTTGAAGTCATTGCGTGTTACTTTCCAGTTGACTTCCATCCTGTAATTAGATCAACCAATCAAGATATTAATTGCTCATCATTTATGAATATAAATTGTAATTTGACTTGACATTTTTCAGCGTAGAACAGAGGGAATAACACGTGATGATTTGGCAGAGAAATTGGCACCTTGTCTTTGTGCCGTACCAGAATTTGCCGAATTTTGTATACCACTCATAATTGAAAAATTACTCTCCAATCTTAAGATTGCCAAGTTGGACTCTTTGAGTCTGTTATGTAAAAGTATAAAGACATTTGGTGTGAATGGCATAAAAATATATTTGACCGAATTATGGATTATCTTAAGAAAAGAAATTATACCAGGTGGAGATTTAGAATTAAAAAATGCAAGCTTGAAAGCAGTCACCACTATAATTGACACTATATCAAGTGATGTTGAAGTTCGTGAAAGTTTCATTAATGATATAACCACAGATCTAGACTCATCTTTATATGATGTGCAACTTAGTTTGTTTAGACCATCTGTAAAAATACTAGAATGTGTGGCAATGATCAATAAAGAATCATGTATACAAGTATTAAAAGCGATAGTACCAATATTTCTTGGCCAATATTCTACTAAGACTGCAATAGTTGATAAAGTAATTTTAATTGAAACATTAAACAATTTTATTAAAACTGCTTCTGATCATGGATTTACTATTAAGGGTAAATATATACTTTACATACTTTGAAATACGTATTTAAAAATGTTTTACAATGCAACATAAAATCCTTTTTTAGATGTTCCAGAATTAGCATGGACAGATATACCAAACCTATATTTAAATGAATTATCAACAGAGAATATGGAATTACAATCAAAAATATTATTTGGTTTAACAATACAAAAAGCGTATTTAAATGAAGTACATCGTACTCTACTTTATGATAAAATTTGTAATCTAATTGGAACAAATTGTAATGAAATAAAAATACTCTGTCATTCGGCTCTTTTAAGTTTTGCTACATTATATTCAAACGAGATATCAACTCTGATCAAAGAAAAGTTTCAGTTAAATACTGGTAAATACTTAATACTTGAATTTAGCGAGCCTGGTTGTTTTAAACTATTTATTATTTTGAATGTTTCAGATGAGGAGAAGATAGAAATACAAATCCGTAAATTAAAAGTATTAGCAACTGTTGCTAAAACATATAAATTAGGAGTTGAAGTTCTTCCACAGATTGTATTGCAAACAAATGTTGCGAATTTTGACATAAGCTTTACAGCTCTAACATGTCTTCATAGGCTAGTCGCTACAGCAGCTATTGACTATAATATTCTACAGTATCTATATAACGAATGTCATATTATTCAAAAATTAGCTGCCCTTAACATCAATCCCATGGATGAAAGATTAGATTTAGTTTTAAATATTTGTCGACTAATTGTACGAAATCTTATGATTGAAGAGCAACAAAATCTTGTCAACAAGTACATTTCAGTTTTAAGTAAACAAAGTTCAGAATCTGATGCTGCTTTAGTAATGAATATTTTCATCCCCTTATACCAAGATGTTGATTTAGCAATAAATGTAAATTTATTACAAAATGTACATAATTTAGCACTTTACAGCCAACATTCAAATATAAGGCTAATAGCATGTAAATTTATTGCTGTAATATTAAACAAATTTGATGATAGTAATAAATACTTCCAACATGCTTTATCATATTTTAAAGAAGCAATAAATAATAATTTAAATTCAGATACTAATATTGAAATAATGCAAGCAAGTGCTTCTCTACAAATATGGCTAACAAAAGCTATAATTATAAAAGGTTCCCGTGATGTTGAAATATTTTTAGATGAGGTATGTAAAAATTTTTAGTCTTCCTCAATATTTCATATATAATATTTAATGTTTTTTAATATTGTATCCATAGCTTACCAATATTTTGAAACATGACCGAATAGGCCAGCATATAGTACAAGAATATAAGATCTTGACAAACAGACACGAAGATACTTTAGTGGTGGAAAATTTTTGTAATGTCAAAATTTTGTATAAACAAAGGGTATTTGAACACTTAATTAAAAAAGATTCTGAGTTTAAAAATATAGCAAGGCAGAACTATTTAAAGACATTAGTACAATTATTAGAAGAAGTACCCTTGGAGCTGTTACTTATGTATTTAATTAAGGTATTCAGTACATGCTGACATAAATATCACACAACACAGCTTATATCAACAATAAATTTTTGTTTCAGTTGGTCCCCCTTTTAATAGAATCTTTATCTCTTGAAAATGAACAACTAATTTTTTTAACATTAACAACATTGAACCTCTTATTGGAGACTAAACACAGTATTTTTTCTGATATGATACAAAGTTTTATTCCGAGGTTATTAAAATTATCTACCTACAGAATAATGGTAATATTTTATAAAATTGCTTGGTACCTTCAATATATAGCATTTTATAATTTTCATATCTTCATATATTGCAGAGAGTCAGAATAGCAGCTTTAGACTGTTTAACAAATTATTGTAATTATCCAACAATATTCATTAACACATACAAACAAGATGTATTGGAAAAGTTAATAGTTCCAATTGACGATCGAAAACGCTTAGTTCGAAAAGCCGCAGTAAAAGCGAGATCACGATGGTTTTTAGTTGGTGCGCCAGGGGCAGTAAAAAGACAATGATCTGTTTATTTATACATTAATAATTTTTACATTTTATAACTCATAGATGAATACATTTATGTTTGTTTAATACAAATAGATATAAATTTTATTCTAATATTGTTTTGTATATTTTTAAAGTTATACACACAAGTCTACTTTTATATATCTATTTATATACATACATGTTAAAGCAAATGATTTCTCTTGCTGTACTACTTTTTCTTGTAAGAGTAAAGAAACTGATTCATCATATTGTACTTATCCTATATGTTGTATATAATGTACATAATTGAATAAAGAATTGATTTCTGTAATGGGATTGAAACCTGAAAGTTACTCTTTAATGCATTTAGTACACTAGAAGCATGGGTGATGGTAAGACATAACTTACTTTTCTCAATCTAAAAAATGTAAAAGTTGTGTAAAAATATTGTGTTACATCAAAGTTTATTTATAGGTGTAGTAAAGAATGGTGCATACAAATATGAAGATGGTACAAAATATATTGGGGATTGGAATTCAAAGGGGTTGAAACATGGTGCTGGTTCTTTACTCCTTCCTGATGGGACACGTTATGATGGTGGCTTTCAAAATGGATTGTGTTCTGGCTTAGGAGTTATAATATTCCCAGATGGAGCAAAGTAAATATCATAAGATATTACTTTTTATAATTATTAACTTTCTAATGTACTTTATATATTAGATATGAAGGTGAGTTTATGCAAGGTTGGTTTCATGGTCATGGTGTATTTTGGAGGTCAGATGGGATGAAATTTGAGGGAGAATTTCGTGGTGGGCGTGTATGGGGATTAGGTAAGTAAGATTTTAAATGTTAAATTTTTCATATTGAATTAATAAATTACTGTTTCATCCAACTGTAGGATTAATTACATATGCAGATGGATCACATGGTTTTCCTAGAAATGAAGGATTCTTTCAAGATTGCAAACTTGTACGTCGTAGACATTGTCCAGATATAGTACAGAAGGCACAGAAGATTTCTATGATGGCACGTGCCCAATGTAATTAAATATTAAACATAAATATTAGTTAGTTATATTAAAACTTAATAAAGAGATATAATATGTCATACTATAATTTCTGTAATTATTGTGTTTATTGCTTGTCATCAGATATATGTATGTATGTGTATATATATATATATATCTTATATTACATAATGCAAGTTTAATTTCTACTATGTAAATAAAATTATAATATTTATAATCTTATTTACATTTTAAATAAGTAGATTGCACGTGACCATGGATAGTAAAATAATACAAATATACACGTATATTAGGTATAAGAAATAATAGATTCTCTCATTCAGAAGTTTATAATGTAAGTATCTGGAAATGATTTTATGTATAGTAACAAATTATTATTTTCTAAGAGAAAGAGAGAGAGAGAGAGATTGAAGTTTTTAAATTAATTACAATGATAATAAAGTACTAGTGTAGTTTACAAGCTAGTGCGATGTACCGATGTGCGATACTTACTTACGATGCAGATTTTAGTAACATGGATTTATGACGTCAGTAATCTGATGTTATACGTGGGCGTGGGGATAAAAGAAATTAATATTAAACAGTTTTACGGCTTCACGTTCTTGATACATCATACGTCGTACATTGTACCTTGTTCTGAAAATTTAAAAGGCAAATAAGGCTTAAAGGAAGGAGTACAAAAACTAGTTTTTAAGATAGTATTAACCAATAGCTATCACGCGATATTGCTAAACCTACATAAACAGTGATTGTGATGCAAGTTTTATGATATTATATAAATTGAATAACATGTCTAATAATTTAGATACTTTAAGTGAAACTACGACAAATTATAAATCAATATTATAACAGTGCTAGTTCATTAATGAAACAAAATTACTACTCAATAATAAAATAATCAGGCGATCAACCAAAAATCAATCTAAAATTTAATTATTAAAAATTAGACAATTTCTTAACAAATTTCCTTAGGAAAAAATTAATTATTGTTTGAAATGGCGTCTCCAGGTAGGTATTACTCGTTTTTCACGTCTTTGATTTTTATTTAGTGCTACTACGTGTAATACCGTACGCGATACAGTTATAATTTTCTATCGCTTTGTGTAGCGTTAATCGACGTTAAGGTAGTGATTGTATTTTGTTCTCTTTCGTCTTTGGTCTCTCGTGTTTTAATTAGCCAATCGTCAATATCTATGCAGTGTTAGTGTGTTACTGCATTTTTTCTGAAATTTAATATAGACTCGTCCGTCATAATTTCGTAAATATACATTATCTTTACATGTATTTGCGTACATAAGCCGCCGCTTCTATAATTCGTGATTTAAAATCGTCAGAAGTATCTTTGTTAACCGAATGTATACAGCAATAAAGTCATAAAAAAATTCAATTTTTACGAATATAGTAGAGTTACAGTGTAATAAGTTACTTGTAAATATAAATCGAAATTGTTTAGAACAACTGTTGAAATATATATTTTTGATATCATCAGTTTGAGTTCAGTATAAAGCACTCTTAAACGTAATCTACTAATGTTTTTAATTCATCTATAATTCGAGTAATATTTAATATTTGATACAGCAGAGAATGTGAATAGATTTTATAATTTTTTTAATTTACTAATTCATGAGAAATGTTTAATGGTTCAGAAAATAACTATGTTTTATATTGTTGATATAATTTTTTTGTAATTTTCAGTCAAGGAATTAGATATTATATTAAAAAGAACTGTAAATGACTCGAAGAACAGTAATGAGTCCTCAAACTTATAAAAATCATATTACAACAAAAGCTATGGCATCCAATGGTTATACTGATTCTGAGACTCCAGTCAAGGAGTCCAAAAACCATTCATCACCTTGTGAGTTATTCAAGTGTATGTGTGCTTAGAGTAGCCATTTTTATTCTTTTATTATTATTATTGTTATAATATTATTATACATGAGGGTATCACTTTGAAATGATTGATTAATAATTATTATTGGTTATATGAAAATATCTTAAATAATAATTGCAATTTAAAGTGATTCTCTTATATGCATATATTGCTTATGTATGCCTATGATTTGATTTCCTTATTATTATATTTTTATATTTTAATGTTTATGTTTTTGTAATTATATTTGTATTCTTTTAATTTATTTATGCCGTAATATTATAGAAGCTTATTTGCATTTGTAATCTGTTATTGTGTACATAAATATATGTGTATATTGTGTGCTTTATATATTATTTACATTATATACAAATTAATCCATTCTTGCAATAGTTGCATTTCGTTTGATTATGCATTATTTAAATATTTCTGATCTTTGTACTTTTTCAAATTAAGGGTATTTAAATAATGGTTTTTATGTTTTTAGCAATGCCATGGTTTGGTATGGATATAGGAGGTACATTATCCAAATTGGTATATTTTGAACCGAAAGATATTACAAGAGATGAAGCAGATGCAGAAGTTGAGACTTTAAAAAATATTCGACGATATCTAACTAGAAATTCAGCATATGGGAAAACAGGTCATAGAGACACACATTTGCAAGTATGTTTCATGTAATTATTTCTTAAATAATCTATTCAACACATTCTTACAAAAATATGTTATGTTATTCTATTACAGATGGATAATGTTTGTATCAGAGGTAGACGTGGTACATTACATTTTATTAGATTTCCTACAAGTGAGATGGGAAATTTTTTAGCATTAGCAAGGTCTAAAGGCATGGCAAATCTTGTCACAACAGTTTGTGCTACTGGTGGTGGTGCATATAAATTTGAAAAAAATTTTAAACAAGTGAGATATTTATTTCTTTATATTCTAATATAGCTTAATATATAATATATACACAGTATAAATCTGAATAATGTGTACATTGTTTCTGTAGGAAGTAAATATGAATTTAGCAAAATTTGATGAATTAGATAGTTTAATACGTGGTATGCTCTACATAGAAACAACAAATCCACACGAATGTTATTACTGGTCACATCCTACAGATGATAGTAAATGTCAGAAGGTTCCCTATGACTTTTCTGAACCCTACCCGTTTTTGGTATGTTGGATTCTTTAGAATATCAAACTGTACATTATTTATATATTGCATATACATATTTTATATAAATAATTTTTATAGCTTGTAAATATAGGATCAGGAGTAAGCATATTAGCAGTTTATGGGTCAGAAAATTATAAAAGAATATCTGGTACTAGGTATGTATCCCTTTTATAACAGTATAAAAGTATGTACTATTGAATTACATTTTAATTAAATTTGATTTCATATTTAGTCTAGGTGGTGGCACATTTTTAGGATTATGTTGTTTACTAACTGGATGCAACACATTCGAAGAGGCAATAGAATTAGCAACTGGAGGTGATAATACTAGAGTAGACAAATTAGTTAAGGATATTTATGGTGGGGATTATGGTCCATTTGGTCTTCCTGGCGATCTTGTTGCAAGCAGGTAGTATTTTTAATAACTAAATAAATATTATTTTTGGTCTTGTGTTTTTGTACTTCACTTTGTATTTAATGCGTATTATTTTAATTATATGTACAGTTTTGGACAGATGAATTCTAAAGATCGACGGAATGCAGTTAGCAAACAAGATCTCGCACGCGCAACACTTGTTACCATTACAAACAATATTGGTTCTATCGCGCGTATGTGTGCCGTCAATGAAAAAATTGAAAGGGTAAAATATATTCATAATTAATGTATCTATCATACTTAATTTTTAATAGTAACATTATCTGGTAATTTTAGGTAGTATTTGTAGGAAATTTTCTTAGAGTAAATCCTATATCAATGAAACTTCTGGCCTATGCTATGGATTATTGGTCTAAAGGAACGATGAAAGCTTTGTTTTTAGAGCATGAGGTTATATATGAAATAGTCTTATATAAGCTTGAAGAATTTAAAAGAATGTATTTATATTCTTTTTCTTTTCTAATTGTAGGGTTATTTTGGTGCAGTAGGATGCCTACTTCAATTTAAGGGTGAAGCAAACTAATATTATAGAAAGACGGATAATATATATAGCATTCCATTTGATATTCTAACTCAAATGAATCTTTTCATGAGGGTGGTTATGTAATTATTTAACATAATTATTTATTTTTGTTATGTAATATCAACTTTCTCAGGTAGTATTGTATATGTTGTATATGCAATGTTACATCAAATTTTAATAATGGTATAAAATTAAGGTCAGGATTGTATAATCTTGAAATGTGACTATATTTATTAATGAATGAGCACAGTATAATTATACACAATATAATCATTTTAAAACGCGTTACATGATTATTACATAAAGACCTAATGTGGGCACAAACCTTGCACGAGTTTGTATAAGAATTTTCAATGGACCAAAACGCATACAATTTACCACACAATATTCTTTGTATCAGTAAAATGAGTCTACCTCATATTTTACTTTCTAAATGTTTATGTAAATACGTATATATCCAAATTCTTACAAACAAGGCATGATATTTATTATTATTGATATTACACGATTTTTCAATTGTTCACAATTATGACAAAAAAAATTGCAAGAAAGAAATTGCATTAATGAGTACTTAATATGTGTTATTACTAATGGCTTCATTATTGATACATTTTTATTTTTATCATTAAAAAAAATATAAAATTATACTTGATCTATGATGATAATGGTTAAAATTAATACAAAGCATATTGGTTGGTGGCGACTTTTATAGGTTATTTTTACATGCATTTTTTAGTTATTTGAAAACTACATTGAGTAATGTGCATTCATTATTATTAAATATTAACACGTTATACATACAGTGCTTCAAAATGTAGACACGTAGCATATTGTTACACACTTTTTAATAGAATAATTTATAATGTGATAAGCAATAGAAAGATAAAATACCTATTATCACAATATTTGTACTATAGCACTATAAAAAGAATGTTTTTTCTAAACATATTTTATGATATGTTTAACGTTATAGCCAACATTTATATGAATTTACAAATACAAAAAGGAGAACAAATTTGTTTATAAGCTTATTTTTATGGAATAGAAACAAATGTAATTTTCTTATATCAATAAATAATTCCTTATTGAGCCTGATATATTAGGAACTTTAAGCTATTATTGTAAAATATTGTTTCGATTACGTTAAATACATTTGCATGCATTTAATGTGTTTTCATATTATTTCATTTATATACAATAAAATTATATGGTTAATGAGTAATAAAATAGTATTTTCCTTCTTATTATACTATAAAATCGTACATATTCTGCATGCATTGACGCTATAATATTTTGGTTACTTAGCAACTAATCTGACAAAACACTGTATAACTTCACGTTGGAAATATGTAGTTGTCTTTACGTTTATTAATGAAATTATAAAATAAAGATATCGATATTTTAAAGTAATAATTGATATTGATATACTTTATCACCTATTTTTATAAATTTTTATTGATAATCATCGAAATTGATGATAAAATAGATATCCATTTTCGTGATATCCAGTTCTCGTGACACTCTATTCTTCTGATTTTAATTTTTTATAAAAATGGTGAGCCTTTAAATTTTTGATTGCAAACATTTAATCAACAAAATCTGAATTATGCATATATAAATTATTTTACTTTTATAGGGACCTAAGAAAGCAAAAGTACCTGCTACTGTTGATGGTGTAGATACGTCGAAAATGAATAGAGAACAATTAGAAGTTTATGCACACAAGATACTTGAAGAAATGGAGCGTGAACGAGAGGAAAGAAATTTTTTTCAACTTGAAAGAGATAAGATTAGAACTTTTTGGGAAATTACGAGACATCAATTAGATGAAGCGCAGGCAACTGTCAGGTATTTTTCTACATTTAATTGTAAATTTAATGTTAATGAAATTTAACTGATATGTATATGTATTTTTAAAGAAATAAAGAACATGAAAAAGAAGAGTTATCAGAAAAACACGAAGCAGAGCTCAAATTATATAAACAGAAAGTAAAACATTTAATGTATGAGCATCAAACTAATTTGTCAGAAACTAAAGCTGAACATATGGTTGCTCTTAAAATGGCACAAGATGATCATACTCTTCAAGAAAATGAATTGATTAAAGATAAGAGAGAATTAAAAAGATTGCAAAAAGAACAAGATTTGGCCCATATAAATGAAATAAAAGCATTAAAATTGGTACGAAAAATATATCATATACCTTTTGTTACTATTAAGCATTTTGTAAATTGAAATTTACTATTTAGCAACATGCAGAAGAAACAGATAAGCTGATAAAACAGTTTGAAACTGAAGCTCAAGAATTGGAACAAAAATATGAACAGAAGTTGACGAGTCAATATGAATCCCTTACTTTAAAACATCGAATGGAAATAACTGAAGTAGAAGAAAGAAAAAATACACAAATTGCAAATTTGATAAAAAACCATGAAGTTGCATTTGCAGAAATGAAAACTTATTATAATGACATTACTCTTAACAATTTGTCTTTGATAAAGAGTATGAAGGTATAATCAATTAAAAAGCAAGTTAGTCATATATATAACATTATTGGATTTGTAGGACCAAATGGATGAAATGAGAAGTAATGAAGAGCGTATGAAAAAACAAGTACGAGAGTTAACTATCGAAAATAAAAAATATTCTACTGATATAAAGTCATATGAAGAATCCTTAGCAAATTACACTCGCCAACTTGCAAATTATGATAAAGATAAACAAAGCTTAATTGTAAGTATTTAAAATTTTGTCACATATATTATGTAGGTTATTTTTTGTCCAAGACCTTAATTCTTTTAGAGTACTAAAAAAAGATTAGTAATAGCTACAAAAGAGTTAGAGAACTTAAAATGGGAAAACGAAGTATTAGAAGTACGTTTTGAAAAGGTAAATAAAAACATATATGTTCCTTTCTAAATAAAATTACGCTTATTGTGAAGTCATTATAACTTAAATTGAAAAGTCATGTTTTTTTGTTTAGTGTCAGTCTGAAAGAAACGAATTACATTCAAGATTTGTCTCAGCAATACTTGAGCTCCAACAGAAGACAGGTTTAAAGAACATTCTTTTAGAAAAGAAACTTGAGAAATTATCGGATTTATTAGAACAGCGTGAAGCACAGATCAGTGAAGTACTTACTGCTGCTCAACTAGATCCAATGGTCGTTATTAATGCTAATAAAAAATTAGAGGTTTGTAATTTTTTTCCTTTTCTTTTTTATATAAATGTTCTTTTTTGCAGAATATTCTTTATGCCCTCTCCCCTTTTTTTATATGCAAATGTCTTTTATCTGCAGGGTATGCTCTCTTTTCCTCTTTTTATGTAAATGTTTTTTCTTCTTCTTCAGAATCTGTTGAATAGAAAAAACAGTGCCATACAAGATCTACAATATGAATTAGCAAAAGTTTGCAAAGCGCATGACGATCTACTTCGAACGTATGAAACTAAATTACAAGAATATGGGATTCCAAAGAGTGAACTTGGTTTTCAACCATTGAGAGTAAAAGGAGTACCTACAAAGTTAGGATTAGGACCAGCTGGTCTTGTTACTTTAAATCACTAGTCTACTAAGATTTTAATTTTTTTATTTTTGACTGATCATACAATACATTTTCACTAACAATTAGTGAAATGTAAAAATAATAAAATCAGATTAATGCAGAAAGATTCAAGCAATTTCTGATGCAGAATGTTTTTATTTTGTGAAACAAGTAAGTTTTAGAACGCATCTGCTTTATTTTTTTATAAATTACATAAAATTATCACAGAATGTACAGAGTAGATCATATTGGTGCCTGATAGTTGTATACTTGTACAATTCCATCTGTTCTATCATTTACTTAATTTCGTTATCATTTATTTCAATTGTAAATCATCATGCATTTTCATAGTACATTTTTTTATAATTATTTAACAACTAACAGGCACAATTATACTGAAGATGCTTTATATATATATGTATGTATATATATATATATATATATATATACATACTATACATGCTATATATATATATGGATGTATGTATATATATAGATTTTATATATAGATATTATAACATATATAGACATAGACACATTTACTATTCTAATTTACAAAATATTATAAATTGAATATATCAGGTCACGTGGTTAATAAGGTTCAAACACTTATATATGTGTATATATAAGTATATATATGTATATATACATATGTATATTGGGTTTATGTAAAATACCTTTCCTTCAAATCTATTGATTTTTTCTGTTTCAAAAACATTTGACTATTAAGTGAAGAAATAAACAATTCATTGTTATTTTTTTTTATGTTTTGTATAGCTATAATCTTATTATGTATGATGTATATACGCATACACGTATAAGCGAATGCATATACTTTTTTTGTGCAGACACACAATTATATATGTATGTATACATATATATTTTCTATATATGTATGTATATTAAGAATTTGGCACAATAAGAAATAGAATCACAGTTGAAATCATTGTACATCATAAGAGCTATGGTTTGTTAATACATATTTCCTTTTTTCTATATCTGCAAATCTGATTGTAACTTTCTTCACACTTGAAAGTTATCTTAAATATAATATATATAATGCAATATAACTATATCTTATTTTCAGTTGCTATGTTATATCACGAAATAAGTAATTAAGAGATCATGATTTCAGAAATAATAGTATAAACATCCAACAATTTCATTGCTTAAATTCGACCACTGTAAAGTCTTCTTGCAGATTTTTGGATTAGTCTCAGTTCATTGGTTCATTGTGTCAAAAGAATATTGAATCTATTTAATTTTTCAGAGCCGCATGAATCATAGATAGTAAAAAAAATAAGCATCTGTTTTAATTTTAGACATTAGTGGTCCATCGTTCCATTGTATGTATATATTCCTCTTCTATGTATATTAGATTCTTATATATTCTTCAAAGTATACTACTATTAAAGGTGCATGGGTTGCTAACATTTTCATTTCATAGTGCCATAATTAAGTGGAAAACTATGCATACTGTTTCTAAATATGTAATTTGCCAGCGCTATACTTATACTATTTTGATAAAAATTTTGTAAAATATAACGCTACACTTTCATTTGGGTTTTTAGAAATTGTTGAAAAGATATGAGTATGCAATAAACCTTTCAATGACAAACTTTACCTTTTATGATGAATATCTATAAGCTGCTTTTTTACTATATTGGAATAATAAATAAAAAATTTTGGATGTTGTATTTAAGAAAAACGTTCTTCTAAGAAATTGTAAGCAATAAGCAAAACGTTCGTGCTTAATAAAAAAATGTTATAGAAAATTTTGTAGCAATTTTAATTTTGAAAGAAATATAGATAATGTAATCTTCGCATTATAAAATTGAACGAAATAACTTCGTATAAAAAGTATTTTCAATAAAATATTTGTACACGATTACTTTTAATTTGAGATCCATAGAATAATTTTTGATTTTTGTTCAACTCATTATCTTCCAGTTTGGCAAAACTTCAGCAATTAATGTAGAAAAGTATGTTGTTACATTATATACAACGGTTTCACCAGCAGCTAGAATTGCGCCAAACGAACCATATGTACCATAATCTATAATACTGTGATTACATGCTGATAAAACTGCAAGATCTTTGCCTGGACCTCTTGCATTCATATCAGACACGAATTTAATTCTATGTCTTTTACTATTCAAATTATACTTGCACCAAACTATATTATCGCTAGTTACTACAAAAACTACATTACGATACTTGCCAATAAAGTAATCCATTGCCGCGAAATAATAGCTGACTGGTGCAGGTCTAATCTTTAATTTTTGCCATAAGTAATCCACATAATCTGTTCTTCGTATATGTATGCTTACAAATGTTGGTTCAGACAAATTAAATTCCTCTGCCACCTCTTTCAATACTTTTTCTGCATAAGCTCTTAAATTTGGTTTGAATGTAAATTCTCTTCGTACATCATCCAACCACACCAGAATAAGAGACCAATAGGCTGCATGTCTGTGAAGCAAAAACATTAAAAACATAAAATATCAGTTGTGACAAATGAAATAAAATAGCCTACCTTGGTATGATGATATTTTGTTCTGTACTGTTCCATTGTCCAAGAGAATTAACAACTTGACTAACATCTAAGTTACATCTTCCAATGTAACTGAGTGGTGGAATACTGAGATTTTCAAAGTATTCTTCAAGAGTTTTTAATATGCATCGTGGCATAAACGGCTCCAAGCCGGTCCTTCTTGCAGTAGCCCACACCGATACATATTCCCAGATCTGATTCCCAAGCCTACCACCTTGAACTGCAGAAACTATTCCATACTTGGGACAAGGATTCCTCCACTCTGGTGGTATTCTGATATTCTTTAAGGTAGTACGACAAAGAGCTTGTTCATATGTTGAAATCTTTATATGGCGGGCTGGTGGGTTGGATGTGTACATGGGAAACAGGAAGACATGGATGCCAAAGACCACTATCAGAGCAAGAACTATTGCACTTGCAAGTACATGCTGCTGAGCGTGACTCATTATCCTTATATATTCCTGTATGATGTAGTCACTACGTATGGCTCAATTCTTTTTCTATCTTCTACTGCTTTCTGATTATTTATTTTCTACTCTTCAACTTCCACTAGTCCGGCATTTCGTATCTACAGGTGTGCCATGTCCTTTGCTTTTCGTCGTACATCTTTGCAATGATAATATTATTTTTATTGAACAGTACATGCTACTTAATTGTAGATGATTACAAGATATGGATTGTGTAATTAATGATGATAGTAGAACTAACTGAAAAAATGTTTATTTAAAAATGTTATGTAATGTTTTTAATCCAATTAACAAAAATATTGTTACTATCTCGATTAGGATGTCAATAATTTTTCGTTCGGCTAGAAAATGATAGGTAACGTTATTAAGTAGTACACGTCGATGTTGGTCAGACAGTGAAAAGGACATGGCCTAGCATATTTTGTTTAAAAGCTGCTAATTTAGCAAGGTTTTATTGTACAAAGCACGATACATATAAATGAGAATTGTTTATTAATATTTGTTTATTTTGAATCTAATGGAATTATATTACATGTTATATATGATACTATAAGGTAGTAACAGGTGGTGAGCTTCAGATATTACACGAACTTTGTTATATATCTATATACAAGAGTAATATTTACTATTCATATAGCTACATACAGCATGTAAATGATATTGTAAAGAAAAAAGATACTTACACTGAAGTGACAAAAAAATGGTTAAAACATATGATATATATAATTAAGTGTTAGAAACAATCGAATTACGTTCGACACTTGAATCGAACCATCTTAAATATAAACGACGACATTTTAATATCCACTCACCTGTCGCATACAATGATTGACATTCAATTCGAAATGCACTACCATCCATAAGATTTACATTCACCACTTTTTTATTTCTATCACTCATGTTTTCCCGGCAAAATCGATGCGTATCTCGTGCATCAACGCTTGTTGCGTATCTACACGGGATGTTTAATATTCGCTGAAGTGTTACTTTTTTCGACGCGAATAATCACAATGCACACATTTTCAATATTACGACGTTATTCTCGATATTTTTCGTAACGAATTTGTTCGGACAATTTGCTGAACGATCAACAATATTTAGTTCAAGTAGAACTTGCATCCTCGGAACGAGGGATGTTGTCCCAATTGATGACGTCATGAGGAACTGTTACCGTCACCCCTGGATAGTACAGTCACAGACGAGTAAAAGGGTAGACTTATCACCTTATTCAATTTCGTATTTCATGCTCTGAAGTACCGATTGCGTAAAACATTGAGAAGTTTTGATCACTGGATTTTTGTTATAAGCTAATTTTTAATCTTTGTCATATTATATATTTTATTACAATTTATAAATTTTCTCAACCTAATTCGAAACATATATAGTTATTCATCAATTACTTCTTAAATATATAAATCGTTTATATAATTAGTCTGACATAATCTGTTCAGTTTTATACATTAATGCTAAATCTTTGATTATCTTTTATGCAGATCATTGCTTGACTATGGGGATGTCTTCGGAAAATAGTAACCTATAGATTTCATGACATTTGATACAAAACGTTTGGTAATATTTGATTTATTTTAACAAAAATGGATGTACAGATACGTTTGTATAATTTTTTGATTAATTCAAATTATAATATTCGACGCTTTGTTACAGATCTTTTTCTACCCTCTCCTTCTTCCAGGGGATTTGATGATTCTTATTCGATGACAAGCTTCGCAATAACTTTTCTTAGGTCAACGACACCAATGATAACGTTTTTCGCATCTAACCGTGAGTCGCACGCATTTATGTCGCTCAATTATGTCGGTCCTTTTGTAAGAGAAAAGGTCCGAATTGGCAAGGTGACTAGTTGTATATTGTATTAAAGTAGCGCGCAAAATTCAGATAGTGGAAATTTGTTTTAATCAACCAGCTGAATAGTTTTGGAGTAAATAACTATTTTAATAAAGACGAATTGTGAATGGGATAAAGATACTTCCAAATAAAAAAGAAGAATATACGGTTATCACGTATATTCTAATGACAACGATCCTTACACAATATTATTCTACTTTTATCGTTACTCTTATGACAGGCTTTCGTTACAACTTTAGCTGATAATCGAAGTACACGTAATAATATGATAATATCATCGTACTACGCACTATGCCCGTAATATTTACGCTTGCGAAAGAAACTTTTGGGACGACCTAATATTCATCGATATGTGAAATGGTACTAGGTTGCTTCGTCTTTTATCCATGAAATAGAATGTTTTTGATTATTTGCACTTAATCTTTAATTATTTGCACTTTAATCTTTATTTTATAATGCAATTCATATATCGGAAGAAGCCAGCTCTTTGAATGTAAGAGATAACATACTTAACCCTTTAACCTACAATTATGGACATAACCCGTATTAAATGAACGGGCACAACCCGTATTAGATGAACGGA